ACACCCTGCTACTAATGTGGCACAAACTCCATCTCCACACACACCAAACTTAATTAGTACTGTTGAATTTACTTATGCTAACATTAAACAAACGATAAGAACCCTCAAAAGCTCAAAAGGTTTTGGTACTGACAGTATATCATCCTATTTCTATAAATATGGTGGCCATGACATTCCCTTACTACTGCTTAAGATATTCACAATGATATATGGAAAACAATATTTATTATGCCTAAGCACAAATCTGGCTCGAAAACAGAAGTCAGTAACTACAGGCCGATCAACATCACACCTATCGCATCTAGAATTATGGAGAGACTAGTTAAAAATAACCTAATCAAGCATATGCTTAGCCGCAACATTAAAAATCCGAACCAACATGGATTCCTAAAATCCAGATCATGTTAAACATGCCACCTAGAATTCTCTAATTTTGTGACCAGCAGTCGTGACAGGCGGCAACTAGTACTTGTCATCTACTTTGACATTTCTAAGGCATTTGACCGTGTCGACCATTTACTACTAATACGTAAGCTGAAATCCTTAGGAATACGTGACCTATCATTAGGATGGCTTAAATCATTCCTTAGCAAAAGGTCCCAAATAGCTAAACTCGGGTCTGTAGCTTCGAAACCTAGCCCAATCACTTCTGGTGTAGTACAAGGTAGTGTCATTGGACCCCTCCTATTTACTCTATATATTAACGACGTATGCGCTTGCTTCTCTCATGGGTAACCATTTATCTTTTCAGACCTAAAAGTAGCTTGTACATTCCAGTGTGATGACCTAGGGTACTTCTAGAATGCTGTGCAGAAAGAATTAGGTAAAGTGACTGCTTGGTCGTCTTTATGGAATCCACAGTTTAACCTGAACAAATGTGGCTGGATCTGCTTCAGCGCACCCTCAATTGACTTGAAATTAACGCTTCAATCTGCTAACCTAACCAGACACCGAAGTGTCATTGTCTTAGGCCTGAGGTATTCTATTTATTTTTATTTTTTTAATTTTGGTTACAGCTTTATGCCACACCGTATTTTCAGTACAAGTATGGAACTTTCAGCATGGATATCGGTAGCCCAAATTCTGCAGGCCGACCATAGATATCGGGTGTGCGTTGGCAGGGGATCGAAACTCGGACCATGTGCATGGTCGGCGAGAGTCCTAACCACTGTGCCACCGACGCACAAAGTGCTTAGCTCCAGGCCTCGCCGAGCAAGTGGCGTCACAGACCCGAAGGTCGAGGATGCTCTTAGGATGCATACTTAGGAGCTTTCACGACAATGAAGCAAAGCAAATTCTGTATAAAACACATGTAAGACCACTGCTAGTGTACTGTCCATTTATTATAAGCAGCACTCCCACACGTAACAAGCTAAGGATGGAAATTATCCAACGACATTTTACCTCCAAACTACTTGGCTACGATTGTACGAAAGACTACATCTCACGGTGCATGATCCTAAAACTCGACCCACTTTGGACAAGACAACTTCTTTTAAACCTAATATTCTTCTTTAAGTTCCTTCACAAAATATCATTCTCAGGCAGTAAGGACATACAATTCGCACAAGAAGGCTCTTACGATCTGCGTAATCAAACTTATACAGTGACAATAAAAGCCTTTAAGTCAACTCCGCGAAAACTTCTTCACAGTCATGTATTCTAAAATATGGAACAACCTGCCCCTAGATGTCAGGACTTGCTCTTCAGTTATAAGTTTCAAACGCTCTCTGTACAGACTGCTTCACTCCAATGATTATATAAATAAACTATTTATTCCTCGAACGAATCAACTATTAGTCTACTACGGTACCTAAACAACACGCTTAAATACCTTTACTACTCTAAAAAACTACAAATGAATAAGTCGCACAGATGCATAAAAAGACTTAGTAGAAATAGATAGTTGTTCACTAAATTACAATGTACAACGAATATAAACATATATGTCCCACTCCACATACTTTTTCTCTACCCTCTGATACTTTGCTGCTCGCCTCTTCTGTTGTATTTGCCTTGTAGTAGAAGTTGCACAGATCTACATTCCGACTGAAGCTGAGAAACAATTGAAGTCACTTTCTCATATATCATCCCTCAAGGTTTGGCTAGTAATGACTCAGCATCCTTGATGAAATCCACTGTCACCATAACAAGACGCTGTACAGCATCTTACACAAGCACTGTTAATGATCTAAAGTGGCTTACATAAAGCTTTCTACGTGTTAATCAACTTACTCGTACGGAACAACCATGCAGTGGCAAATGGCGGTCTCTGCGTGACTTGGGTGCGGCAAAACAAATCTGCTTGACAATGACAAATATTAATCTGCATTCAGTTGAATTCACATCTGGTATTACTTGCAATAAAAATGATGTCAAAATCATACAAATAAATCACTCATTTTAAATTAATACCCAATTTGAACATAAAACAAGAACAAGATACGATGCCGCACACAACAAAGTTATGTGGAGGAATTGACTTCAAGCTTTATTATTTCCCAAATATTTGTAATTTATCCAACACATACTTGGGTTTTTTTTGTTAGTGTGAAGACAATATTTGTATATTTCTTTATGTGCTCCATTGAACGATTAACTATCAGAATGTACTCACTAACTGATATCAGAGAGGACAGCAACCATGTAATTTCACTATAAATCAAATTCATGTAATGTAAATAATACTTATCCTACATCGGTAGGAAATATATACATATTATTGGACGGGATAAGATGGCAGTTATGAAATGTTATGTGACGGAGTGTAGGAATAGATTGATAACGGCAGTTTTGTTTTTCGAATCAACTGCAAACACGTATAATAGGTATGATTCAATACCTATCCAAGATATCTGGAAAGCACAACTCCCTCTAAGACAAACAGGAGAGAACAAAGAAAAACTAAAAATTTATTTGATCATAAAGTCATTTTTATAAAAAATATTTTTTTGATTACAGCTTGATGCCACACCGTATCTTCAGTACAAGTATGGAACTTTCAGCATGGATATCGGTAGCCCAAATTTTGCAGGCCGACCACAGATATCGGGTGTGCGTCGGCAGGGGTTCGAACCCCGGACCATGTGCATGGTCGGCGAGAGTTCTAACCACTGCGCCACCGACGCACTGTGATTAGTAAATTGTGTTCGAAAAATCATTCAGGAAATAATACTGTTTAACTTTGTGATATATCTAATCAACAAATTAATATGGAATTATTCGTTACCACAGTTTCACACCAACAACTTACAATATCAGGTTTTCATCGATGGTGTTATCACTATTTAGACAAGTATTTCGTTAAATTATTTTGGTAAAGTGGTCTTATCATTTACTTCATTGACTGATAGATTGGGTCTATGTCGATATGCTACTTAATTTAAGCATCAGTTCTCTAGGAATTTCCCTCTAGATTTCTACTAATTTCCAGCCGACTTTACTTACTCAATTGTCCACATGTGTTGATATGGATGAAGATATACGACACTAGTATTCGATGTTCATGCGGACAGAGGGGATATTTATGTGGGTGACCGTTGATTCGTCTTCTTTTGCCATTTCATCCTTCGGTGTGTATAATGGGGGATTTAATAAGCTAGTGAGTTACACCAATCCCCAAAGATATTCATTTGCTTACTTATGTTCTTCAAACTAGTTAGAATCGATCATCCATGAATTTTCGGAGACAACCTTGTAATTATTGATTGATCCAGAAGGCTATTTTTGAAGATAATGGAAGCAGGGAATATAATAAAAATAATCTACACCAGATATAAATCCAATATCTTACAGAATGTCACTAAAATATTCTGCCAACTGAGCTATGTTCCTTGACAGTTAGTCACTTCTTAATCAGTTCTTTAGGCATGCTAGTAAGTGTATGAATGGATACTTGTGGCATATAATCTAGGTCGTTGTTCCCTGGCTTCTAGTTCATTACAAACTTTCTCGACTAGTATTTCTGTGTATTTGACCAAGGTAAAGTAAGCTTTCTTTTCTTGTTAACTAAGCGTTTCCGACTTAGCTTATTGTTTAGATTGTGAAATCATGTCTCTTAATACAGTTTTTTTACAAGCAGCCGAAAAACGTGTATCATTGGAACATGTGGGGGGATGCAATCTCGTGCTATTCTTCAGAGAATAATTCCTTATCAAGTCATTCGGAAGATTTATTGGAACAAGGAGGCTGGTAGTCTTAGTTTAACTTAAATCAGTTTGACATGGATCTTCCTTAGGAAATCCTGAAATAATAAGAATTTGACCATCGAGATTTTATTTCCAAAGAGATATGTTAGTCTTTATCCTATATATTGTGATCCATCTTGTTGTATGATGCCTAAATATTTTAGTGGGGTCGTTGTTATTATTTGAGATCGCTTTCTGTATCTTAGGCATCTACTTAGTTATCGAGTGTTAACTGATGCAATCAGTCCTCAATTTCTGAGTACAGAACAACGTCTATCGATGGATTTAGCAATATTGATGCGAGTTTATTAACAGCAAACTATCTCTATACACAAAGAAGTACTTTGGCCCACGACAACAAATAACTGATCGGTCAAGTGGACTGCAAACTACTTCACTAGGTGCTAAAGCCATGGTCTTTACCACGGAGTTGTGTTTTAAAATACTGTACGTGATATTGATAAAGTCGCTTTCGCATTTGTCTAGCAAGTCTAAATTTATGAGCGTAGATTCTCTTTGTTGTTGTGGCTTGTCGGCTTCGTGTGATGAGTGCTGCGGGAATAAAAACTCTGTCCATCCACTTAATCCTAATTAGATGGGTGGTGTAGCATATAGTCACACTCCAAACTTGTCCCACACTCTAACATGTGGACTTATACTAAGTCACCAAATTGCATGAATCCCATAAATTTTTAAATTTCAGTGTTTTTTATTTTTTATCACGTTCTTGTTCATAGTGTGGTTTTTACCTGTTCACACACACACTCATGCACACTTTGAAATAATTCTGTCTGTTTTTACTTCAGAATTACAATGATCCTACTAGGATTGAAGGACCCATTTGTACCTTTTGAGAATGCTGTATGTAAAATCATGTTTGGCGGCACTGTTGACGCTATTCGCAGTGCTTTTGAACGTAGTCGTAGTAAAACATCTGAGACTGTGCCACCTAATCTATCAAGTGTTAGTGGAACAACCGCTTCGACCGCAACAATGAATATGCCTGGAAGTGCAAACTTTTCTTCAACTGGTGCGGGTACAGGACAGACTAGTCCAGGTTTAGCCAACAGTAATGCGAACAGTGCAAATTCACCGGGGATGAGGGAAGCGGTCAGTCGTCAAACTCCATCACCAAGTGACAAGAAACGTGACTGATGCGTGTACCTAAGATAACTGCTAATAGAACTACATTGACCTTATATTTTATTGGTCAAAATTCATTGTTTCTCCTTTTATGGAAACATTGTAATGTATTCCAGAAATTATGCCGTAGTTGGCGTATTATGTATATTAGAAATGTGTATCAGTGTCTGTCTGCTTCGTCATGTGAGAATCGATATTTGCTGAATAAAAAATAGACAGTCAGTCTACTTTGATTAAAAGACACGCTTGTAACTGATTGAATATATACCTTACGTCAAACTGGTTTTATGATTGCTCTTGAAACAATGCATGGGAAGGTTGGCTGTTGTGGTGTTTCTATTGTCTTTTCACCCTGTACTTAAATTTCTTTAAATAAATAAGTTACTAACACTTAATAAACTTTAGTGAAAAATCTGTACTTTGCATTTTATTTCTTTCCGTCTCCTCTCATTTCCACTCAATAGTATTTTACTCATAAATTAGTCTACATTAGATTGTTAAATATGGAGATTTTCCCCATTGTCTTCCTTTTCCATTAGCTCTATCTGTCTCCCTCTTATTTGTCCGTCTATTGCTCTCTGTTATAGATCATGGCCTTAAAGTACTGTTAGTTTTATCCAGTAAAATGTTTTGCATCAACCAAAAACAGATGGGTGACAATTATTTGCTATTGTTGAAGCGTTAGTGTGTAATCATTCTTGAACTTGGTGGAATAAGAGCGAAGGTGACATAAAAGCTCCGGAAAGTCAGCAGCAAGCAGAAGATGAGTACCTGAAAGATTTTACAGATCTTTAGCCTTCAAACGATCGCGGAATCCTCAAAAACGTTCTGCGTTGGGGGACTTGAGAAGGGGAACCGTGAGTTGAGTTGGAGATACTATCGTAGGGCATTATGTTGGCACCTACTATGATGTTGATGAAGAGGGTAAATCTTCCGAGAGCACATCAGAGACGAGACCTAGAGAAAGTACATTTTATACAATAATGTATAGTTCAAAAGGTCACCAAAGGTATTTCAGTAAGTCTGTAATCATGATCAGTAAAACTGTGGGAGTTATTTTACGTAGGCCAATTCTGACTGGCTTATTTGCAGACTGAGTATGGATCGCCGTATCACTTAATCTCCAACCTACTTCATAAAGATGAATGTATTCACCATCTGTAGTCAGTTTTCAGAATGACTTAGTTGTACGATGATATTTTATAAATTATTGAATTGTAGTAAGGCATTTTGGGGAGGATTTTGTTTCACCACGTATAATCATTGCAATTCACCTACCACTTCCATATGGCAATCTATACAATGATATGCATGCCTAAAATGAGGACCGTTAATAGCGTGTGACAGTTCGAAACCTAATGGAGGATGGAAAGTTGAAATCAATAGCTTAAGAAGGTAAAATTAAATTTTTGAAAGTGATATCTCTAGTAGAGGTAGTTATATTACTGACGTGGAATTATCGTGATGCATTAGCGTGACATAAAAGTTTATATTTCAAGTTTAGTACTAACTTGAGTTATGCAGTTGTAGTGTATACATTCGAATCGGTTGATGTCCCGAACTTTCATTGTCGCAAAGTAACAACTATTTGGAGCGGACTTAGACAATTGTTTAAGAACCTACACAAGTTTATATCGACTGAGAATTAGCCTAATAATGGCTAAATCTTTCATGATGAAATAAAAGGGGGTCCTTCACTGTATGACTGACAGTTGTATAGTGGTTAGGCTGGTACATCACTTTTATCCAGGAAGCCTTATATACGCACAATCTTATCGTCCTGTTGAAAAAACACCGCGATTAGCTTATATTTTAATATTTATTTGTGAAGTTATGTATATTAGAGTTAAGCCTGACGAAATCGGAATGAAAACAATTTTGTTCGCCTGAATGTACCGTTCTAAATTTTGCAGTGGGAATATTTTGATATTTTATGGAGAACCTATTGCATTCAAGGCGCTCAATGAGTTCCTGAGGTTTAGTACAAGGTTCACTGAATCGAAAACATCGTTGGTATTTTTAAAGAATGTGTAGAAACCAAATGTTATCCCAAACTATATTGGAGGTCGTTAGACGAACGGGGAGGCCTGTTTAACATCTGGGCAACCTTGCTGTACATCTACATATTTGCATCTAATACATCATGTTTTCATTTTTAATTTTAACAAAATATGATAACAAATCGTATACAAAATAATTGCAGGGGACTTCAATCTTCCAGAAGTCAATTGGTTAAGTAGTTCCGGCCCCCAACACTTCGGCGAATTACTTGCCACTATCGATTGTTATGGATGGCAGTAACACTTTCAGACACCTACACGTGGTGACAACATGTTGTACCTTGTGTTTTGTCATGACACAATCCCAGTCTCCAGCTATGTTGGTAACAGATTTTCCAGTAGTGACCATAGAGTGGTACTCTGCTCTCTGCCTTTCTCATCACTAAACACAGGAAACACACAGGTTTCAGGGAGCTTGATATGTCGTAGTTACAAACATACAGACTGGGGATTAGTCCAAGAACTCATTCGACTCTGTCACTGGGATGAATACTTTACCACTAACTCCCTGAAGGCTGTAGTGTCCCTATTTTACAGGAATGTTATCCTTTGTCTAGATACTGTTGCTCCTAAGAAGGTAGTTAAATTAAGTAGACACCAAGCTGATTACATTCCGAGGGCATGCCGCAATAAGTTAAGGAAGTTGAAGAAACAGTACTATTCAACTAAGGATATATCACTACTGCACTCAATCCATGAGTCTCTTGAATCTATCAAGCGCCAACGCTCTCAAAAGGACCTCGACGAAGAATTAAGGGCACTTGAAAGCACCTCCAAAGTTTATAACTTAACAGCACTTCTTAAAAAACGAATGCAGTCGACGAGGGACATCCCCTATTTACTTCACGACAAAGTTATCTACAATGTGCCTGCCACCATCTGTGAAATATTCAGCGAGTGGTTTGCAAACTTCAGTTTGGAAACGCGCATTCCTGGTGAAACCGGCCCTCTTACTAGCTCTTTCCTCGGAAGTATAGTGTTCACCAAGCAATCAATAGAACAAGCAGTTAGAAGCCTGAAACCTTCCACTAGCACGGGACCAGATGGCCTCGCTTCTATAATTTTCAAAATCAGTGGGTGTGACATACCCCTACTACTTCCTAAATTCTTCTCAATATCTATGGACACTGGCACTTACCCCAATGAGGGGAAAACTAGCTTCATAATTCCACACTATAAATCCGGTGATAAGGCAAACGTCCGCAATTACAGACCTATAAATATAACCCCCGTTGTCTCGCGATTCATGGAGAAAGTTGTCAAAGATCAATTGTCAGACTATCTACTTAAGGAAGATCTTGTTACAAGGTCTCAACACGGATTTCTCAAAAATAGGTCTTGCGTTACTTGCCACTTCGACTTTTTCAACTGCGTCACTAGTAGTCGCGAAGCACGTAAGCTAGTTGTTGTTCTCTACTTTGACATATCTAGGGCATTTGACATGGTATCTCACAGTATTCTCTTTGAGAAGCTGTATTCATGTGGGATTCGCAATCCATTACTGAGCTGGTTAAAATCGTTTCTAAGCAATAGGGTGCAAATAACCAAGGTTGGATCTGTATTGTCTCATCCTAGGCAGATCACAAGTGGGGTTGTGCAAGGTAGTGTCCTAGGTCCACTTTTATTTACAGTATACATTAACAGCATTTGCAACCGCTTCACCTCAGGTAAATCATTCCTGTATTCTGACGACCTCAAAGTCGTTTACTCCTGCTACGCTCATGAATTAAGCGATATGGTGAATAAAATACATCTTGAACTAAGTGGTCTCGCAACATGGTGTACTGAATCCTGTCTAAAGTTCAACATTGACAAATGCGGCTGGATTTGTATCGGCAACAGTAACCTTGACCTGAATCTTGAAATAAATGGGCGTAAACTAGTCAAGCTCAACTCAGTCGTAGATCTCGGTATCAGATACTCTAGTAACTTAACGTTCTCTGAACAAACTGATTATGCCAGACGTAAAACACGAAGGCTCCTAGGATGCATAACTCGCAATTTCTTTTCTTGTGAAACTAGGGTTTTATTATATAAAGTATGTGTCCGACCTATTTTAGAATACTGCCCGTTTATTCTTAGCGGACTAGGAGAAAATAACAAGCTTAAGTTAGAAGGAGTGCAACGGCAATTCACCTTAAGAATTCTTGGTTTAGAAAGTGGTCTCGAATCCTGTGAGCTTTGTGACAGGCTAAGATTACAACCACTCTGGAAAAGACGTCTTAAGCTAAACCTAATTTTTTACTACAAGCTAACTAATCTTCTCGTGCACTCCTCCGAGCCAATAATTAAACCTACCGCTGTCATCAGTTACAATTTTAGAGGTTGCAGGTGTTGACGTTCGCGAGTTGTACGGATTATACTAACGCAAGATCTTATACCAACAACTTCTATAGTGTTCGTTCTTCGAGTAGCAAATATAAAGCAAAAGACCAAATTTTGTCGTCCAAAGTACGTAGTATATTTCGTGACAAAATCGCGGGAAGAGGTGAATGCTTAGCTAGCTAGTAATCGTGCACGCACGTGACACGACGGAGTACCAAATGGCACGGATGCTTCACCGGAAGCCTTCAGCTAAACAAGTCGACTTAAACAGTGATGGTCAGCATCCAATGTTGAGTGATGATTGCTGTGGTTAATAATTTTGGGGAATTATTTACCGCTACGGCTCACTCCCCCCTAGTGGGTTTGTGAGGACCCTAAGACATGACCAGCCGGAAGTAAAAATTCTCGATGGTTCCCTGATGGATGAAAAATATCTTCCGAGCGGCTTGATCGAGAGCTTGCTGGTCTGTCTGCCTGTACTAATAGGGTGTCTGTACACAGCTTCCTCAATGTTGTTCGTTGTATCCCGTGCTTCGTTTGTTTCCTGTCCAGTGCCCGTTGCACCTGGAAAAGAAAACAAGAATGCTGAGAACCTTGTCAAGGAAACTATACCAAATAAGCGTTTTT